TCAAATGACAGGCGTTTTGATAGTTATCATTAGCCCTTTAGTTGACTTCAGGCATCACAGATGGGAAGGAACATCAAAGTGAAAAAGGTCGAGATGGGGGGGGGGCAGAAGAGTGTTTCAAAGGTGTAAAAGAGACAGACGCAAAGTGAGAAAAAAGGTGAGGTGAGTACTATGGAAGTAGTCGAATTTGACATACAGTGGGGTGATGGTAGTTTGGAGTCAGAAGTCAACTGCCGGTTAATAGACATTTTTGCCGTATGAGCATACGTTGCCCAGGGTGCACCACGTGGAGGTAAGTCTATCGCTTACCCCACATTAAAAGCATAATCTTATAGGAACGTTGGCTTATCGATTGTTATCTATTAAGCCTCATATATAATGTTACCCTTGTAATTTGGTATTTTCTGCCTGAAAATTTTCCAAAAAAAAAACAAATTTGAAAATCGATATCGGCTAATAGTTTTGTCGAACATTCCGTTATTAGGACTTGGTAATTTGAAAATAAACATTAAATTTATATTAGTTCGATAAGATTGCAAAAAGTTGTCCTTTGGAGTGATAAAACGCCTTGAAAAGTTTAAAAATGGCGATTAAGCCAAAAACACAATTTGTTTTCATTGGACCGTTGACATTAATTCGGAAATGAGAAAGCGCGCTAACACTCAAGACAATTTAGTCAGTCATCAAATTTGTACCGTGTTGCAGTTAGCAATAAGACAACTCGAATCGTGGAGGAAACGTGTTTTCCAGGTCTTAGGGGCTGGACTGAGGTGTACACTTTCTTCAAGATTTGCATACGCAAAGATTTACGCGAATGAGAGGAATTTGAGACGATTCACTGCAAAAGTATCAAAAGTTATGCGAAAATGATTTATTACGACAACTCTTTCCGATTCCTCAAACTTAGCTAAATCAAAAGAGAAATGAGATATGGACAGCCTCAGCTTACTTATTTGGGAAACAGATGAAATGAAAGTAGATAGAACTTGATGTCCAATTTAGTATAATGAATGAAAGATGATAGCTTTCTAACATTCTTATTTCTAGATTTCACCGCTTAGTCTTAAAGAGGTTTCAAGAGCTTGAAAACGAAACCGGTCATTCTATGAAGAAAAATAAAAAATCTGGCTGATGTCAACCAGAAGGACATCTAAGACTTGGCTGACAATGAACTGAAAATTATCTATGAATCACCCAGATTCTAAGCCAAGGGCGTGTCAATGTATCGGCTACTTGCTAACACAACACAGTGGGAAAAACTGGCATTAATAGGGCGACCTTGAGGCAAGCGTATCATTGGTTAGTTATGTTTTGGTCACTGGTTAATCGATAGCACTTGCTTCTTGACATAGACGTTCGGATGCTAACTAAATTTTTCTCGTTTTAGTGCACTTTCGTTTTCTCGTGATGACCTTGATGTGATAGTTGACTTAGCAACTGAAATTACGTTAGAATCATGTTCGCTTAAAGCACCACGTGTTCAAGGAGAAAAATCTGCTCAGCCTAATCACGTGTTGGCTAGAAAGGAACATCTATGAGTTAGGTGTTTGCTTTTTTCTGTCAAGTCAGGCAAATAACGCATTAACCTCCTTTTTTTCCCTTTCTCTCCTCTATGTGACCTGCTCACGCACTAACTCAGATTACACCCACGAGTTCTGGTGGCAGAAAAGCACATTTCATCTCGATATCTTGCTGGCAGAGTTGTTCTTTTGGTAAAATGTCAGATTAAAGTACACCAAAGTTCAGTTCTGACTAGATGATAACCAGAATAAAGCAATTTTCCTAATATTATGTGAATGAGTTAGCCATGTGTTAATTAAATCATTCAAGCACCTTTGCATGGTGAAGTTAATTATTTCCAAACCTGTAGGTTCTTCCCGATCGTGGATCTTTTATTAACCTATTAAACGCACTTCCTAAGCTGATATTTTGACTTACGTATGTTAGTTTACCTATCGATTGGCAATAGCCTTCTCACTAAGTCTATTAAATTGACCTCTTTAGACGCAATACCGCAAAACAAAGTGCAGAAAACAAGACGAGTCTGACAAATGAGAACTATATTTTCAAATTCCATATATATTGGATACTCATCAAAGAGAGAGAGAGATAGGAATATAGTAGAAGAGATTGCAGCCAAAACAAACCACAGGGAAGTACATAATATAAGCAAATTATTTGTGTGGAGGATCTCTTAAGAGTAAAGGATTAAAGTTCCGAATGCGCATAGTAAATCCTATGGTTCTGCTTATAGACCTACATACAGACACCGCCCCATATTTACACACACACACACACAAAATGTAAGGACCAGAAAAGGAAGGGATTATAATTTGTGCTTAGAGGAGCAAAAGGGGTTAGGAGAAAAAGAGCATAGCTTTGCTAACATCCGTCTAGAATTTGGTATCAGTAACATAACACGTTACAGAGGAAGGTGGGGGAAATGCTAGAATCTCAATCCGTTACATGGGATAGGTCTAATGAATTCGCTTGAGAGGAAATAGTATGCACTAGACGAGGGGGGGGGGGCGGGGCGGGGGTGGGAGGCTTTTTGTGAAGACAATGAAAAGACCTAGGAAATGCATAAAATTGATCTTGTGTGTTTGCAATATTCATAGTTTTGTTTCATTCTCCGAGTTTGTCTCGAATTTGCCTATTGAGGTAGAGGAGGTGACGGCTCTGTTTGCCAGTTTGGAATTGGAGATCTGAAAACGAGATACAAAAAAAAAAAACAAGAAGAAACACGTCAAAATGAGCGAGAGAAGGCACTGAAACAAAGCAAACAAGCAGAGACAGGATTGAGAGAGAGAGGATAACACGACAAGACCGCGATAATCGAAACCCGGTTAGCTCAAGCAATCAGCACACGACGATGATGATAAAAACACAACTACATAGGCGATTACAATGTACATGCTTGAACCTGCCCCTACATGCTCATTTGGTAATCTAATTAGTTGATGGAACACAATTTCTGAGAATACAAGTAGAGAGATAGCTTGCTTGATAGACTAAATAACTGGCCATAATATTAAACGCCCAGCAATAGTTGACAGTCACCAAAAGCAAAAATAAGGGAAAAGAAGAACTACCATCCCATTTGCAAATATCGACACAAAATCGGTCTGCATTTGGGCTAACTCTTCTTACAGACCAAACTACAGCGCACTGCGAAGACAAGACGAATCGTGTTTCGAGACATAAGCCTAATGTATCCTAACAACGTATATAGGTGACGATGTAGGATGTTCAGTCACCACTTGAAAATAACAAGAAAAGCTGACCAATGCTTTTAAATATAAGCAAATCAATAATAGGCGAAATGAGAGCGACTTCAATTGACAAAGAACTCGCTTGTTGATGACTAATAATGGAGGTAAATACAGTTGCCCAATATCCATTATTAAAAGGCATGTTCAGTTATTATTCACTTAATTGGTAATAAGAGAGTGAAATCATTAAAAGCCAAAGCCTTCTACCAACCACTTGAGTGCACTCAGGGTAGGGTTAGCACCAACCGACTTCAATGTGGGTAAATAATGCTGGAGAATTAAGAAATTAACATCCAATCGCACCCCTTGTTGACCAGAACTAGGTAGTAATACACTGGTGGCACACATAATTGAAGATGCGCCAACAAGTATCAATTTAACAACTACCCCACATACACACACCTTAACACCAAAAATGCTAAAAAAAATATTGTCATTTAAATAAATAGTCAGACAATTGGGGGCAAATAAGTTAATCCATGAAATTCAAACAGGAGAGCACTTTAAGAAAGTGGATTAAGCATGGTAAGGTGGGTGAACGTGGTGCATCCCCCCAAATTTAATGTAACAAGGACGCATTTTTAAGCAGATAATGGCACGATAAAGCAAGGCATTAATCATGCGTTTAAAGAATGATGAAGGTGTTTCGTGAACTAACAACAACTGAGTATAATACACAACAACAGTCTGGGAACACTCTCTATTTACCCATATCCAAACAGGATAGTAGACGAAGCATCCTGTTTAGCCAGAAAAATAAACAGGTTGAAGAGACCAACAACGATAATAACAATCTCAATTCAACCCCTCTGATTTCTCACCTCTAAATCATCGATGAGATTTCTCGGAATGGGAGTTAGTGTTGGAGGCACCAAAGGGGGAGCAGAATGTTCTGGAATGGAAGCTAGATCCTCATCGGTAGTGGGAGCGAGGGTAGGAGGCGGCGTGGGAGCGATTTCGGGTTCAGGAAAGAGTTGTGGGGGTGGAGGACAAAGGCCTGTGCCCAAATTTTCCCCATCTACTAATTGGGCTTCCAACATGAATTGGCGTTTCAAAAGCTCGGCGTTGATGTCAGTCAAATTGTGGATCTGAAACACGAGCATTAGAATAAGAAAATTGAAGAAGTAAGGACAAAGCGAGAGGGTTAGATTTCTTACGGAATTTTGCAATTCCGTCAATTTCGACTCCAAGTTTCGGTGGAAGCGAATAAGTTGACGTGCTTCAGTGAAGAATGTTGTTGGCCCGCCTTCTAGAATGCCGAACTGAAATATCCAAAGTGAAAGATAATAGTCTTTCCTCATTTCAACACTATGCGAGAACGATTAAAAAATAATAAATGAGTATCAAGTTCAATATACGCATTACAGAAACTAGAAGTCAATCATCAATAATCACTTTTAAAGTTAAGAAGTCACGACCATCGGCAATGTCAATAAAATTGAGTGGGGGGGGGGGGGGGGAGGCAAGATATGGAACAGGCGCTGACAAGTTTTTATGCACTTCACTCTCTTAGCTTGCATAGATGTAAGCGATGTAAGGCCTTATAACCACCTTAAGTCTAAATAAAGCGACCCGTGCTCCATATCAAATACCAAATAGACATCTAGGCCTATAATTATTCAAAAATCAGTAACAGGGCATTTAGTAGTCGTTTGTGGGTCTTCCCAATGAGCATGTAGGAAGAAAAAAAACAACTTTTATGAAAAATGAACTGTTTAGGCTAAAGCGTACTCATGTAAACAAGGCAAAAGTACTTTAAATAAAAGGTCAAACCAAACTACGCTCTCTCTCTGATTAATGTGGAAGGCCTGTATTTACACAGCTAACTTGGTATGGTGGATCAATCCCATAATAATAATAATAATAATAGCGCGTGGTGACTCATGAACCACCGCAAGGTTTATGTTTTCATTTCAGTGTATTTTAGCTGCGTGAGATGATTTAAATGAACACACACGCCCAAGCGCTGCACGAGTGTGTGCCAACGGACTGTGATTCATCAGATTTATGGTATTCAATCGTTAGCGTTAAAACAAACAGACGCGGTGCAGAATTACCGGGCCATAACAGACCCGAGGGTTTTGCAAATAAAATGCACTAAAATAAGATACAATTTGTTATGAAAACAGGTAAGATTCAATATCATTCAAACGAGGATTTAGGCAACCTCAAAAAAAAACAGCTTCCTAACTGTCATTCATTCCTCAATCAAGAAAAAAATGAAAAAGTTCCAACCACTCGCATCATCATCATCAAGATAGCAAATACTTTAAGTAATTTAGCAATTTCATTCCCAATATATCTAAACCATTCTTCAATGATGTCTTGTGGTATTCGAACGCACGAAACTTCCAGCGGTACTGGTAGAAGGAAACGAGTAACCTACTCTACAAGTAATTAGAAATAATGCACCACTGATCAACTTCCGAAATCTGCCTTTACGACTGTAAAGGAAACTGAAATCTGATTTGATCGATTCTATCGGCTCCGCAGTAGCATCCTGAAAGAAGCCGAATTTTATAAGACTTTGCTTAAACAGTTTCAAGGTGTATAATTGATTATGTCTTCTCTTGGTTGAGTATCAAAGCAGTAACTTTCGACTCGGCAAAAAATACAATCTTAAGTGGCCACTTTTTAGCCTAAATAACTGAACGCAAAGAGGTGCACCCCATAATCTTACTCTTTCAATAATGTCCTTGAATTGTTCGCGTCCCTGAGCGCGTATTTCATTGAGCGAAGCCTCCAGTTTCGTTATCTGACCCATAAGTTCACTTCGACGTATCTCTTCGCGCTTTATTGACTCCCTCAGAATATTCAAATACTGCGGACACCTCATTCGCTCAAGCTGTGAGTTGAGCACACGCTGAGTACGTCCTACAAGAAAAAAATAGAATCGAATGCCTCCTGTGGTTATGTAGGATGTGAACACGATCAATACGATCTTTAATAGATGGATATTCTTGAGGCGTCTTAGAGACTAGGATTAGAATTTTGCTGTTTAATTTTATTAGCCAAACATAGCCAACGAGGTTGGCCATTCAGCCTTCAAATGCTAAACAGATAGACAAGTACGATAATCGCCTTGCTACAGGAGCACGATCTCTCACTGAATAGAATACAACAAGTCATCGTACAAATTTAATTTACTTAATTTGAAATATAAACAGTCTAGTTAGAAAATCTAAGGACCAAAGAACAAAGTTTGGATTTTGGAACAATAGGTCTAGCCTAACAAAGAGATCAATCTCGGAGACAGACAGCAGACGTGATTTAAAGTCACTGGCAGCCACTGATAATAAGTAAAAATGGGCTAACCATCACTAACCTAGCAACAGGTAACGCCGTAATTACAGGCACACAAATCAATAAACCCCTCCTTTTTACTATTCAAACAACAACGACTTCCTTCTCATATCCCCAAGTATGCAGAGATAGACATAGCAATGATTATAAAAATAATAATAATAAATATGAAAAGATGCTTACTGAAGTGGTGTTTCGTAGCACTGGATGAAAAATGTGTAGATGATCGATGCTTATGATGATGGTGGTGAAGTTTCGGTACTGAAGTAGAGTTCTGATTTGGTGTTTCTGGCCATCCTGAAGCGAAATATGGAGATGGTTGCTCTCTAGTGGTGAATATCACAGATTTTTTGTCTCTTGCGATTTCTAACTTCATTTGCTTAAAATCTGTATCAGGAGAAAATGCTGAATCAATAGAGGAGGTGGTTTGTGGAGGTGAGGGAGTCGAACAATCATCATCGGCAAGGAGTTGTGATCGAGGAGTAAAGCTAGTGGAGTCTGCAGAGAAGGAAAGAACGAATGTCATTATCCAAACGCCAAAATATTAAACGACGAAAAGGCATTAAGCATATAAATCTACACACACTAACAACTTCCTAAACATCTAAAAGATTTAGTTAGCACTAAAAGTCTTTTAACTACGAAAACATCAAAAAGAAGTATTTGCAGAACACACCTAAAACTTACTAGAGTTGACACGCTAAGATAGAAATGTGTACACAATTAATTACGCAGTTTATACATCGAAAAACACTTACGTATGAGACATGTAAAAGGTTACTTTGATCATTTATTACAGATGTGGAGGGAAGACAGTCAAAAGTCGTTATATTAAAAAAAAAGATTTTATCATCTAGTAATCAAATTTAACACAACGAATACATCATCCTCGCGTTGTTCACAAGGCAACTAATCTATGAAATCAAAACAAAGCCAACGAAAGGGAGGGGGGGGGGGGGGGGGGGGGGTAGGTGAGGATAAAAGAGGGGATTCACAAATAGACACCGAAACCCGGCTTAGCTAGAGGAGGGTTGTAAAAAAAACAAATGCATTTTAATTAAGTGAAGATAAATAGTGATTAACATAAGCACATTCAATTCGTTTTAATCTGTGGAAAAGTAAGTTTACATTTGGCATTGTTATTTTTGGGTAATTGAAGAACTGTTTTCCCCGGAAAACGGATAAATTTAAGCGATCCCACACTTTTATTATGGACACAAAGTTTTTAGACAAACAGACTATTTATCGACAGATTTGGGCTAGGTTCGTCCAAATGCAGAAAAGTACACCCCAGATTCAAGTTAAGTCACCGATATGATCTCTCGAGCTAACTCTCAAAAGACTTGGCAATTAAATTATGAAAAATGAACTATTTATCTCATTTCTGCTACCGAAAATGCCAAAATCTAATTGTCTAAATATATGACAGCATATTATTCGAAGTCTTACGAATCAAAAAGAATAAGTGTATAAAAAGATAAGGGCACTCGAATCTTGAAATCCCTTTGATGAGCAAACGTTCTTTCAACCAATATAAAACCACTTTGATGTCATTCAATTAAGCTAAACTACCGTTCAATGTTATTGCAGAAATATTCGGCTTAATCCATTTGCCATTTTACTTCTAGTAAAACCAAATTTAAAAAAATTATTCATTAAGGAAGATTGTGGTGTCGTGTAACAAACACAAACACACACACAAAATAAAATAAACGCGATTTCGATGTTTTAAAAGTATCTACCGGTGTTTGAAGCGTCTTCCGAATTCATCCCAAGACTAGACAGCGGAGACGTCTCTTGTTCGAAATGGCTTGACGTCTCTATGGAATCAGCAGTGGCGGAATGTTGCTGTTGATGACCTGCCAACTCGTGTTCGTCCCTTTGTTTCACAGCCAATTTGACATTTCCTTTAGGACGAACAGTTCGTCGTTTCTTCTTTTGTACGAAGTCGGTATTTCGACGACGACGTTTGCGACCATTGGAGTAGTTCCTTGAACTAGGTCCCGAATTCATCTCACTACCGCAAACGGAAGGAGCAGCACTGCCAGCCTGAAAATGATATTATAAAATTCATTACCAATGTAATGAACTGCAAAAGGTTCTCCTTCCACTACACATCCTTTACTTAAACAAGAATTTATACCCCTCCCCCCCCCCCCCCCCCCCACGTTCGCTTAATTCATCGAATCAAGAAAAAAAAACCGTAATAAACAACTGTGATCAATGGCCTGTAAGACTGTCAAAATTCATTTCTAAGTAGATAATATACCTCATCATTATTACAAAGGACCGACATTTTTTCCTGAACTAGTATCCAGATCAATTCTGTAATAATGAGTAATGTGCAGAAAGTACCTTCATTTGGAGGCAGAAAGAGGAAGGGCTATAAAAGGATGAGAACGTAATAAGAACAATGAAGATGAGGAAAAAACGGTGGTAAGACAGCCGTAATGAGCTCAGATTCCCATCGGCAAATACGCCTACACAAGCCACCGTAAATAAGTTAGCGGGGGGGGGGGGGGGGGGGAGGATTAGAGCGCGAAATGACTCTCCCATAAAGGTACACTTGCATGTGGGGGAGGGTGACGAACACGTGCGCTCGCTCCTAGCAGTGTGAATATGTCGAAATTGTGGAGGAGTAATGTTTACGCGTGCTAGAAGTTCTGGGAAAGAAGCAAGGTGCTTTGACCTATTATCTCCTCAAAATAGACTAACGCTTCAGAGAATATAAACGGTTAAGGACACTTGATCAGAAGGGGACAAATGCTATCAACCAGCCGTATAATCAAGTTTGCACCAATGATAATCTAATTAGATGACCTTAATACAAGAGTACTTATCAGATTCAGACATGTTAGCCATAAGTCCCCTCTCCATCCAACACACTTTAAGGAGTTCAATCGACAGTTTGAAACAAATATGAATCAAGAATTAAATTGGGCAATGATGACAAAGTAATACATTTAAAAAGTACAATATACTACTGGAATCTACTTAAATTACAACTCGAGGAAAGGCTTTATCTCATTCGCACAGTAAATTAACTACCGGAAATGACCATCAATTAGCATTTCAATAAAACCACACCCCCGAGACTCTCGCACTAAATCAAAAGCGTAGATAACGTAATTCCTCATCACGTGGGAGAAACCACACCCTTTAGGTTGTCGCACTCTATTGAAGTGAAGTTAACACACACTTTCATTTGTGGTGGCAGACACTGCGCCATCATGAAACGTGAAATGCATTTTTTACTAAGACAACGCCGGCTCCAGACAAACGTCGCACTTTTGATTACCCGAAAAGCCCTAGCAAACCACACGGTAGAAGAGAGGAACCCTAGTACAATGCCAAATTGATGATATTAAAGAGGTGAAGATGATTGTTTGAAAAAGAAGAATATCTGCCTTCAACTGTGATGGGAAAAAATATACCGACGATAAGGAAAATAATTTACCATGATTAGGACCAAAAGGCCTCCCACTCTCTATCTAAAGTAGGGTCAAATGGAAAGTAGTGGGAAAAATGAAGTTTTCGAAGTAACAGTTTCAAAAGCCTCCCACCCACAAAACTCATAACGGAAAAATGACAAAACAGTCAATGCAATTTCTACTTTTCACTAGTGAAATTTATGCACAAATAGAACGATAATAACGAGAAGGCGTCGAGTAATGACAACGTCAGATTACCTAAGACAGTGAGTTAAATTAAATTTATTACCACGACTAGACATCTAAACTAATTAATTGATCAATGAGCCCCGGTAAACAAGAATTTATTGGGGAAAAGGTCTGAAATAATAAAGTTCAAGCGTAGGACCATGAAATACCAGACTACTTTCGAAAGTGTAAAAGAGCTCAACTTGAATCCATAGATCCTTGTGATAATGCCCTTTCCCTCAACCCCCGTCTCTTATAAGACGATGTTGGATGGCCTTTTATTCGTGTAATTCCCTGCGCCAGACGGCCAAGTACGATGAAAGAGGTAGCAAAATTTTGCCGTTTTTTGTTTATGCTTTGGGGAAACGAAAGTAGCAACGATAATGCAAATGTTGGACTCATATATTGCCGCTCCGAAGATTACTTGAACTCAGTACCCACCACGTATCATAACGTGATTGAAATAAAAATTGCACACAAAGACAGAGAACAATGAACCTCCATAAATTAACTTATTGCATTTTAGACAGAAAAGATACAGTGAATTTAGGCAGAATTGTCTTTGTAAAAACGCACACATAATGCCAAGTGATCGCGTAAACAAGAGTCTGGGATCATAAGGCAATAAAAGAATAACCTCCATCTAGAGAAATGGCCTTATCACAAGCTAACAACAGCAGAAATGACGACAGTCTGGGGAAGGAAGGGAGCATTAATTTATACCTTAATAACTAATTACAAATCGCATGGGGGGGGGGGGGGGGGCGAGAAAGAACTACAATGTCCTAAAATTATTAATTAATTAATTAAATAGAATTCCCCCACGCATGAGCTGCTGATATACATAATCCGGACATTCCATTTTTAATTTATTTATTTCTTCTAAAGTAAAAACAATGAGCTAAAAATTGAAATAAACCAAAAAGCCCATTGATCAATTTCAATTGACCAAATCGAAGAAAATGCCATTTAATGGTTTTTATGAGAAGCAAATGGCTACTTTAATTAACTAAACACGATTAAATTTACTTCACTAATTCCTCTCGAAAATCTTATTACTAGACGACGTTGGGATAATTAAATAAGATTAATTAAAGGCAAACAAATGAGTATATCTTAAAACAAAGAGCTTCAAATACTGAAAGACATTGCTTCATGAAGTTGAAAACTGCAAAGTGTACTTCGTAAGACCGAGTCACACTCGTCGAAATTGGGATCAACACTGCAATCTCTCTTGGTCCAATTAAATCAAAAATTAATCCACCACTCAACCAAAATTTAGGCTAAAAAACAGATTAGTAATTTATCATTAGCTTGAATTCCCCCTTGAAGTTCATCATCTATCACTTTTCACAAGAACAACAGCTGAACGATTTCAATTGAAACTATTTGTGCACTTGGTCATTTCGAAAAAAAACAAGCTTACGTTAAATGCTTAAACTACCCTAATAATAATTTTCACTAGAGCTAAATAGCCAAGTTTGGAATCGATTTTTCTACTATGGGATGTGTTCTCAAAACCACGGGAAAATAAACTATCAGTAAATATTTTGAGTAAAAGGCAAAGAGAACGAGATCTTCAGTTGAATTCCAAAATATCTGCAAGTGCTTAGCATAGAGGAAAGGATGAAATTTTCAAGATGACCAAAAATCCATTTTGACTAATTCCACCACTTTCTTGCTTGAAAGCGTTCAAATTTTCCAGGTTTTGCAACTACAAACAGGCTGAAGCTTACAAACCAACTCTGGGATTAATTGCTACAACAAACATAAGAGGCTTATCATAGGAATTTGCGAGAAAGACAATATTGGGTGTGGTTCCGAGAAATTTCTGTTTGAAGTTGAAGCTTTCGAAGGTAATTCAACCACTAATTTTAGGATTATGCGCTAGCTAAAGTGTACATTCGAAAGTTCTACGTGAATAAAAATCAGTTAGAACAACAAATGCTGCTGAGGCTTACCGTGGATCCATCGTAGGAGTTTGAGGCAGAGAGGGTATTAGGTGTACCAGCACAAGAGCTATTGGAGCTTGAGTTACCACAAGCTGATCTTCGACTCCGAGTAGAACGCCTTTTTTCAACAGCATGGGCCTCCTTGAAGTACTCCAATAACTAAAAGGACGCAAACAGTTGAGAAGGCGATGAAAAATTTTTTAAACAAATTGGCAAAATATCAATCACAAGTAAGCTGCCTTCCATTTCAACCACTACCCCAAAGGTTTGGATATATTTGGAATAGCAGGAGGACTAAAGCCCATTCTAGTAGTCATTATTTAGGAACAATTCATTCAAACAATCATAGACAATGCGTTGCGCCAATATTCAAACCTTTCTAGGTCTGTTATCTGAGTTAAAAAGTACAAACAAGACTAAATAAAACACCAGTCTGAACCCGTTAGGCAAGCTAATAAAGTGCACTAATAAAAATCACAGTGACACACAGGTTACTTGAAACCACATTGCAGATGTGCGCATCGAAAAACCTTTACAAGTACAGCTCGATCCAACTGATGGGAAAATTTCCTAATGACGATGAAACTAATCTTAACCAGATAAAACTGTAGCTAGAACTCAAACTGTAAGACAAAAAAGAAAACTTTAAGTAGACCAGTCCATCATAATGATACAAGCCGACCAAGTTAATTTTTTTGTCTCTAAAACCAAAAACCATTCAATTTCGGTTTATTGACATTAAGGCCTTCCAAAATGGTAAACCATAACAAAATCATAAAATGGGAAAAGAAATAGTCTGCCACATTACATAAATTGCTCAATTAGAAATTGCATAATCGCTCTCTTAAAAGAAATCAATAAAATTTAAGGATGTAAGAGCAGTAGCAATCAATTCAACAACAATCCAATCTCACAATCTTTCGCTTTTTCACTTAAAACAAAACTGTGACACCATTTTGGTTTATAGGCTTAATCATCAAACACGCCGACTGATGTTCAGTTCTTGGCCTAAATGACCTTATTAGCCCACGGACCCAAATGTCATAAAGCGCATAAACGGAAAGAGGTCACTAGCATATTCAGGACGTAATGAAAAGAATAGAGTTTTCGAAAACACATAAACACACAATAAAACCAGTGAACGAAAGCATCAAGAATGGCGATTAATATAAAACTTACTAAACTCCGATCGATAACGTGCACAAAGTAGGTGAAAGGCTTATCTGTCCAAGAAACTCCATCATTAACTGGCTCCAAGTTGGTTACTCTCACCATAGAGCTCAGATCTGCCAAAAAGGATGCATAAAACAAATCATGGAGCGACGCATAATAATAGTGCAAAAGAAAACGTAGAGAGAAATCACTTACCATTTAACTGACGATCGGATAAACGCTTACTGCGAGAACAGAACGCTTTTGAAGATATTATCCTGGCGCCTTCTTGTAAATCAGAGAATATTTGTGTGAGGTGGTAATCCAATACTGGTCCAAAGGCGAAATTATTGGCAAATACAACAGTAGAATTTTCGATCACTGCTCTATGCTCATCACTAAGAAAATCACCCTCAATAAGCTGAAAGAAAAGCAGTATTTAAGCGCATACAAAGAGAAATTAGGAAAAACTAAATTGGCTGTCAAATAAAACTAACCTCATAGGGCTGATAGGGTTTCCCAAAGAAGGCCATCCAACGACGGAATTCTCTATCCATACGACGAGCACATTCAGAGGGATATGCAGCCTTTTCGATACCCCGAGAAAATTTGACATCAGAAGAAGCAGCTACTTGCAAAACCACCTGACCGACACCACTCCCCAAATCGATAAATGTGTCATCTGCAGTAGTCTTCACGTTTTCCAATATTTGCTGTATCAATTCAAAAGAAGTCTCACCATAGACTTGAGGTGAGAAGGGTGTGTATTTGTTCAATTTATCCGGTTCTTCAATTGACCGATTATAGCATAGATTCATAATGAATTTAAGCTGAGTAGAACTAGCTTTACGCCGACAAAACTCCGGCACCGTATTATTATTTTTCCATTGATCGACAAATTTCTCGACGCAGGAATTGTACAGTTCGCAGTAATTTTTAATGGATTCTAAGGATTCCCAATTGACGGAAGAAAATCTAGTAAGTAGGACTTTATTCGAATGAAGTTCCTCCACATCAAGCATTATAGAGTTAATAACTTCAGAAATTTCCCGACCAGATACAATGGTATCCTAAGAGAAATAGCAATTACAAATAATTCACAAGTTATTACATTAGCAGCGGATCAAGTAATGCTTACCGATAACCGGTAGAGGCGAAACACTTCATCCACTGCCCCAGCGGGACTTTTTAGCGTTATTTCAATATTGTTATTCATGCATACAATTTAATATATCTAACCAGTAAATGACTCCTAAGAAATCTAAATCAATCACCGCTCCACGTTCATAATAGTGCTTAAAACAATATCAATCAATATTTCAAGGTCAAAAATTATAACGGTTTTAATTAAATTATCTCTCAATACAATAGCCATTTAAATACTAATTGTGAATATCTTACCGTAATTCCAATCTTTAAATATATCCTAATAACTGGTTTAGTTAAGCAGTCCAATTCAGTAAGTAAAAATATACGGTTTGGGAAACGTTTAACCAATAATGACTATTTTGTCGTAATATTTCTTTAAAGCTTATAGAAATAATTCACTTAAGTTCACATTTAAATTCCTTGAATTAGCATTTAACTAATCTGTCTTATTTCGACAAATAATAACTTCGCTAGTCGAAACGTCGGCATTTTATATATACATGGTCTGTTAATGAGTTGCATATGGTTTAATATTAAACCATTAAGTGAATTTGAATTTTGACTTACTATGTTCACCAGCACTTTGCTTATTGCAATCATCAATGCAATTTAATGATATTTTACTGAAATATATTTCAATAAAACTAATCCACCACCATTTAACAATGTCATACAAAATCAGTTCTTTATAGGTTTTTCTTCGAAAATAGGTTGTAGTTGTATGGTACCACTTGATTTAACTTTAATTTATCATTAAAGTTGGTCAGCAGCAAATAACAATAGGTCATTCATACGATCCTGTAGACTTGATTCAAGGAGTAATTGATAGTACTCTTTTGCTTAAATAAATTATTCATTGTCCTCATTATGTTATATAGTTTTACACATCTTTTCTAGCTATTTCAATTTACATATGGTCCATAATTAATGAGAAGTTAACAAAACTTTAAGAGTTTAAAACGTCGTTTATTTGTTTATTTATTTATATCAAATGGCAGGCATTTTGGTAGTTACATTAGCCCTTTAGATGACTTCAGGCCTCACAGAGGAGAAGAAATATCAAAGTGAAGAAAATCGAGAGGGGGGAGGGGGCAGAAGAGTGTGGTGGTGAGAGTGGTGCACCCTGGCAAAGTATACTCATACGGCAAAAAGTCTATTAACCGGCATTTAACTTCTCACTTCAAACTACCATCACCCCACTGTATGCCATATTCTACTACCTCCACAGTAATCACCCTACCTTTTCTCTGTCTCTGTGTCTGTCTCTTTTACAATTGTAAACCTTTCTTCTGTTCCCCACCCCTCGACTTTCCGTTACTTTGATGTCTGTGAAGCCCGAAGTTAACTAAAGGGCTAATGATAACTATCAAGATGCCTGACATTTGAAATAAATAAATGCACACCTAAAATGAGGTGCACTGATTCTGACTTTTGCTTGACGATTGGGAAGTTGACATAACGAATTTCAACGATAACGATTCTGAAAGCATATTAAGCTCTATCCTATGCTCCTTAATACTCAACATCTTCGTCCTCTAAACCAACTATATCATGTTCTCAGGGGTGAATGCAAATTAAACTACTTTATGGAAATGCCTCTATTTGTGAAGAACTTTATTTATTGCAAATGGCGTGCTTTATGACATTTATCATTTGCCCTTTAGCTGACTTCGGGCTTCACAGAGGGAAGGAGCAACATCGAAATGAGAAAAAGTTGAGAGGGAGGACAGAAGAACGATGTAAAGATGTTAAAGAGACAGACAGACACAAATGTAGAGAAAAGGTAGGATAAGTATGGTGGAAGTGATCGAATAAGACATACAGTGTGATCATGGTTGTTTGAAGTCAGAAGTCGACTGCCGGTTTATAGACTTTTTGCCATATGAGGATACGTTGCCCAGGATGCACCATGTGGAGGTAAGTCTATCGCACACCCCTTGTGAAGAACTTTGGTTTCCGTTGAAGAGTTGAGTACCCCTTTCCTTAGAACCAGCTTAAAAAAGCGAATGAAGTTTCGATTTGTTTTATGAAGCATGAAAAGATCCCGAGAATGGTCCGCTTTATTCGAAGTGGAAGTAGATTTCTACATTCTAAAATTGTGTTCCCCACAAGCTGCTTCACCACTGTTTTCTACTGAGTAGCACACTGATTGTTAATATGGTTAATCGGGCTGTTTTTTATTTAAAATTAATTATGAATACCAATTAAATATAATAAATGCATGTTTCACATTCTCATGAAAATTCATTTAATTGCTTAAAAGAAAGCTGTATATTTATAAACCAGAATATCCTTAGTCACAAATAAGATTTTCGTAAGGTTAGAAGAAGTTTCCACTTGGTTACTCCTAGTCATCTCAGGTGTATGACACCTCCAAGTGAGAAACCTCAACTACGAATTCACCAACTTCACTTCATCTCCTATGACATCCAGATCCTTAATTCACTTCCAATCGTTAGTCTNGGGGTGTCCTCTGGTAAAAAATTCCCATTGAGGAGATTGAAAGGGATAGTCGTCCTAAATAAAAAAAAAACTCTTTTTTGCTTTGTACAGTCTGAAAATGGTAAATGATGGCTTTCCATTGGTGAACATAAGGAATTCGAGCCAAAAGTACAAAATATTCAGAAGATGGCATAAAACAACATGTCTGTATTAGTTCAAGTTATATTTTGAGCAAGTTAGATAGATATTTTTCTCCAGAATTAAAACCCATATCTGGCAAAAAATACGCCAAATCTGCTCACTACCAATCTAATCACTGTGCTCAACCTGAACGCACTTTAATGGGAAGTGCAACTATGTTCAAAATAATGACCTCAGACCTTGAGAAAAATTGGTTCACTTTTCTTCAAAATAAAAATTGTGAAGGTAGGAAGTAGAGACGACTTAGTTATGGAATGAACCGTTCGTCTACATTTGAAACTTAAGCTCCGAAATATATATTTTAGCATGCTCCTGGTTTCAGGGCAAAACAGAGTATTCATGCAAAATGGGAAAGTAGGAAAGGAAGCACAAACAATAGAGCACAGAAAGCCATCTAATTAGAAATCGAATATATTATTGATGGTTGGAAGCATTCAATATTACCAGTCAAGTCATTCATCAATTTAACTGATCAAGTAAAATGGATCGAATCTTTATCCAAGGTTGTTAATACAGAACACGTTTTAGCCCTTAATATCTAATCAACTTTCGATATATACTTTCGGGATATACTAACTATTGAGGAGGAGTTTTTAGGAGACACAAAATTGGTTAATCTCTTGCATCGTAACAATGTGTAATGATTCGGGAGCCAAAACGCTCACAAAACACCAGAAGTCTGTAGAGAGAACTCATTTTCTGGTTAGATAGAAAAAATAAGTTGAAAGTGACAACAAAAGGTAGGCAATCAAACTTGTGTCGCAGTGTCTCAAGGGGAGTTTACAGGGTGCTTGATATACTCACTTTCCATAACAATTATGAAAATGTTCTTTGCATTTCTTTTTTATAATGAACGAGAGGGGATATGAACCATCAATTTTCCACTTTTAGAGACGAACTGTAGAGGCTAGTCTGAATTTTTTCGGCTTAAAAGTGTGATAGAAAAATAGCAAAACTCGTTCTTAATTTTTTGTCAGATGTCATCTCACAAAGTCTATTAACCGGCAGTTGACTTCTCACTTCAAACTACCATCATCTCACTATACGTCATATTCGACTACTTCCATAGTACTCACCTCACCTTTTTTCTGCTATTGTGTCTGCCTGTCTCTTTTACACCTGTGAATCACTCTTCTGTTCCCGCTCCCCTCTCGAGGTTTTTTTCAATTTGATGTACCTTCCTCTCTGTGAAGCCTGAAGTCAACTAAAGGGCTAATGACAACCATCAAGACGCCTGCCATTTGATATAATAATAATCATTTTTAATAATATATGTACAAGTGGTCATCGGGTAACAGACTTAAGAGGAAATCAGTCAAAAGACATTTGACTTACCGGAATGTAAATCGTGAAAGTACATATTTCATCAGGCAAAAGAGTGAAGGAAACGTCGTTGTCTGTATGCTTCAAATATTTGCATAAATTGTTTGAAGAATGCGTCACGAAATCAGCTATTTCGAGGAATTCATTAACGTACGCTGCATTAGGTGGCATTGTAATTATGAATTGAAAATATTACTAGTAATTTAAATTGCGCTTAATACGAGAAGGAATACTGATTTACGTTGATTATAATTCTATTCACATAAAGTTAAGATAGTTCAATATGAATTCTTAAGTGTATAACATTCGGTTTGTAGAGGATTCCTACACTAATAAACCATGACTTGTACTCAGTGATCTCTATAGCAAGATCTCCCAGGGTAGAGAGTCTTCCCGAAGTATTCTAAGTCGACTCAACGATTATGAGGGAACAGACGTATTACGCTTTTACTTGGGCTGTATGAAACTTAAAAGAACCTTAGTCCTTAAATAAAGTTCCAGTTGCGTTGATCATGTCACTTCTATTGATTGCCGAGTGGTTGAGAAGCCTTTGCATTGTAACCTCATTTGCTCCCTAGTGGGATTAGCAACACGACCGCATGTTCCAGAATGTTCGAGTGCGCAAACGCTTCTTTACGTCAGCCATGCTGACGATGTGTTACCAACACGTTTTTCTCTAAATCAAATTTGGTTAACGATTCATTCTCTTTTATCAAATGCGTGGACATAATTTATTATCTACGTCTGTGACCAACAATTTAATTAAATCACCTGATAACAAACTCGAAACAGCAGTCACTTAATTCCAGTGATTGAAAGAATAATACGGACATGAACTCAACATTCAAGACCCCAGAAGAAAGAAGCCTTTATTTAATCACGCGATGTTACTTTGTGCTGATAGAAGCCGAGAGGAGGCAATTAGTTGAAAAATATTTGCTTGTTATCTTCTGAGCTTTTTGCTAATTGTCTTTAATACTGTAGCGGATTGCTACCTTAGTAAAGCCTGACTGACTCAGAAATCTCTATGGCAGATTCTCCAACATCTAGCTAGACTCCCAGAACCAGTTAAGCTATAGCCCAGCTATAAAGGAAACAGATGTGTAGCACGGAGCACGTTTATTCAGGACGTATATTGCGGATAAAGTGTACACTCGGGAAGCTTAATCATGATCAGGATGGCGGATTAAGTTAAACAAACAGAGGTTAATGATTGATCACTGTTTGTACGGTCGCACCTCCCAATCTTGGCGTGCAGGCATGCGATGACGTGTCCCACAATACGTAACAAGACATAACTTCTTACCAAAACTCATACTTCTAGAATTTTGAAGGCATCATTGTGGCCTCCACTGACTATTTTTGCAGTTGAAAATCATCCGATGATTCGCGCGTCACTTTACCAAATATGTGGCATTTTGTCACAGATTCTAAAATTCATATGGCACTATTCGATGGTACAAAAATAGTCACCAGCATTGTTTGGATATGTTGTATTTTTCATAGCGGTGATCCTAAGCGCCATTGTAATATTTATGGTAACGAATGACCAGCTGACGAGAAGAGGTGACAAAATTACACTCAACTGAAATAATCCTAAACTAGTACAAATTTAAAGCAATGGCATCCTTTAAAATTTCATAATGTATGACTTAAAAATTATAATTGGTTCGAATGAAATTAAATCTAAGTAACAAGATTCTAGAGGTTACCTTAACTCTCGAAAGTGATTCTTGAATTACGGCTATGTGGACATTGACTCAGCGTTCTTATCAAACTTACAATTAGAACTTTCCTTAATATATAAAATTCCGATTTACCTAGGACATAGAAGTTACTCTATTGTCTCATTGGACACTTCCCAATTTCAAATTTAATTTGTTGTCAGTTTTTGGGTTGCAAACTAGATTTTTCTATATAAGGTGTTACAAGAATCAACAAATGCATATTAAACATAAAAAGCCGTTCTCATATTTTCAAAACCATGTCATTCGATTTTAAATCAACAGTATATATATATATATATATATATATATATATGTGTGTGTGTGTGTGTGTGTGTGTGTGTGTCAGAGCTTCGCGAGATCAATATTTATTCACTTATTTTTCTTCTGGTTAATCAATCCTATCATATTCAGATAAAGATGTCTAGCATTCGATTCATACAAAACAGTCCAATCAAAACGTGAACATGGATTATCATTTGGGTTAATAGGATTCCAGGTTATAGAGACATATTTGTTCCTGTTGTCAGACTAGTCTATCTCCCTAAAGCGTAGAAAAGCCAGGCTTACAACTGAGGGCTTACCTAGTCCCAGTAATTTGGAAATATTGCTAGAAATGGACTTCTGGTTAAATTTTACAGTTTTAAATGACGGACATGAGTTATTAAATCCTAAACATATTATTGTTGGAACGCCAATACAAATACTGCAGTAGTTAATCAGAATACATTAAGTGATTTTCATAATTTTCAAGCTGGGTCAAGAAATTATTATTTTATTTAGTCCATGGAAATTTATAGCTTAGTTGCATCATTAAAAATATAATTTCTATATAATAGACAAATAATTGAAGTAGTTATAAATATAAAACAATTGTATAGAAATTTTTATTTGAGATATAATTAGAATAATATTCAATCATAATATTGTTTGTATTCATTCGAAAGTTGGCGTGCTTTGCAGATTGCCCGTTTTTGGTGTTAAGGTTCTACTCTTCGGGGCTTCTTTATTAGTACTTTTTTATATTAGCTTATAAATTCAGCAATGAAACACAGATATCGTAAATCTGGGCAGAATTTAAATAAATCTGTAAGTATTTCTTTTAATTCGGCTGTCTAACAATGCCACTGACGTATATATTTTGCAAATTTCAATCCACTTTGACGTTTATTCGTTTATTTTTTATTTATTTAAGCCTCTTCTTATTGCGTAATTTATTTTTAAGTTCATATTTTGGTACCTTTGCACATTCCGATTTCGACCTTTACTCACAATTGTATTTTTTCATGAGTATATAAGTTCCTCGTATTTCATTCTCGTGGAGATATGTAGCAGTTTATTCAAATCGCTTTCTCTTTTTCTTTCTCTAGCGTAACTCAGAGGCTGATTCTCCAGAGCAACCACCCTTTGCAGATGCCCTGCCAACTCCTACAAAACGGCCTAAGGGTAGACCGAGGAAATCATGTAGTTAATTTGTTTGTATAGCATCTTTTTTGAAACGTTTTGTTGACCTTCAACATTATTTTTCAGTGTCTTCCGAACAATCCCCAATCAATAGTGCATCTAGCTCTTGCAAGCGGAAAATCGATGATGATTTGGATGCTTGCTCGCCTATTCCAAGGCTTCGACCTCGAAGGAATGCTTCAGTTAACTATAATGTACGTTTGTTTTGCATTTACTTCTTTATGCTTTAAATTAGTGATATGGTTTCTTCGAGATTCTTCCACTATTTTTTTTATCTAAAGCTGTGACATAAGAGTAGCTCTAGGAGTATTTTCTTATTTGCTTGGATAATATCTATCAAGCCCTGGATCTCGAAATCTCCATATCTATGCATATGGGTATATTTCTATTATTGAAATGGTTTAGCTGAGCCGCAGTTCAGTATCTTAATTAGAGATGTCTACTTTCTCTAATGTGATTATTTTAATGCATTTTCTACTAAACAGAATAAAATATGGAGGGGCTCGAATCCTTAACCTCTGTTTTTTTCCAGTTTTAATACACGCAAGTGATTTCTTCTAATCTGAATGGTTATTATTACTCTCAATCGTAGCGGGCATTGTGTTCCTTTGGTAATTATTTATTGAACAGTACCTTTTGCGATCGAGTGCAGAGAAATTGAGTACTTTCTGCTTTTATCTGAACCAAATCTATAAAAATATAATTAAATCGTGCATTTGTACTTATGTACTTTTTGTTTAGCAATATTTTATAAATGATTAATTCTCACCTATTTCACATATTTACATTATCGCAATTTTTAAATTAATTTAATATCCGACGAATCTGTTCAGTTAGAAGGCCCTGAGAGCTCTTCTCTTCATTAGCTTATTGCTGCTCTTGCTCTCTTCAGCGTACTAGTATTACAAATCACTTTGTCTAGTTCGTATTTAAAGTGTGCAAAAGCCCAAAAAAATCCATTTTATACATTTTTATGCCGTAGTGCTCTTAGAAAGTCTATTGACTACCGCTATAATATATGGGCTAACAGGACATGCCTAGGCTGGAATTGTCTTATCGTGAACTCCCTCGTCTTGATAAGTACGAAGGTTGACTTTAAAATAACACGCTGTATCGATTATCCCCAGACAAAGTTTTCTATCAATCTCAGAAAGAACACGTCTTGACCATATCACATCTTCACTGCTTTTATTGTATCTCACCAAAACAGGCCTCTCAATTACTCTGCCGAATATTCATTTTTTTGAAATTCCAATTCGAAGGCAACTTGTTGACGGTTGTCGTGAATGTTTTTTTTATTTAAACTTGCCTATTTTCCACGCGATTTGTTTTGTCTATTAGCAGAAAAAATGCAAGATCGAAAGGCAACCAAGTCATATTTGCAGTTAAGTGTATATCTCTGTTCTCTTGTTAGGAACGTTTGGATGAAAGCGTTCACGACATTCCAAAACCTCGATCATCCAGAGGCCGACGTCATGATGAGGGAGATGAAACTCAGGAGGAGGATGCCGTGACCCCTGATGGTCGTCGCTATCCACTGCGCAACCGACGTCAAAGTAAGTGTTTTGTTAATATTAAAAATTTGCACATTTGTTATTACCTTGGTTATTTTATGTTTCCTTTATGATCCACAAGACACAAGTTCTCATCTTTGTTGGGACAACTTGATCATAATCTATTATAACGTAAAGCGTGTTAAGTTAGTTAGAACAACTTACG